AAACCATCTTTATTTATATTTAATTTGCCGGAAGGTATGTGGGCTCACCAGAGAGACAGAAAAGGAGGGAAAGCACCCCCCACCCCCAGTGGGGCTTGGTCATACCACAATTCCTCCTTCTCCAGTCATCATCCCAGGGCTCCCACACACTCATCCTGACACAATTTTCATGAGTTTCAGCCATAAGAGCTGGAACTCCAACTGTGGTCAGTCATGTGAAATCCAATTCCCTTACCATTAGGCCAGGGAGCTAGCCTTAGACCATCTTCCTCTGCTAATCAAAAACTTTATGATAACACTTATTTTAGAGTCTCAGTCTCTATACAACAATGACTAGCATTAGCAAATAGACATTTTCGATTTGTCCCCCCATCATTACTTTTTGGCTTATTAAGTCAGGGCTTCTTGGTATTCAGCTTCTCCAAATAAAAACCCATATTTGGTTCAAGAATAAGGATTGAAGTAACTTACTGATCACACTGCATATATTACCTGAGTTAGCCTATGTAACAGATAGGTATCCTTATCATCTGTGCCCTATGGAATAGAAAATTGAGATGTGGAACAGATTTGGTTCTTTGGAAGCAGACACTGAGCTAGATTAAAGATCAACACCTGTAAATGGAAGGGAGCAGAAGTGGGTCTGGACTGAGGAAGCGATGAATAGGGATATAGGCCTGTATAGCTTTGGCCAACTCAACCAAGTGGTCTGGATCAAGTGTTGCTCACTAGCATTCCATGTTGGCTAGCACTTTACACACTTTCCTTGCCTTGTCTCTGGATGCAGGCTGTCAAGGGAAAGCGTGACCTCTGGAAAGGAGGGTCTCAACTGAGCAGATCTTGAAGGAGTCTATACCTCAGAGCTATCTACTGACTGTGTAATTCACAGCTAAAAGCAAATGCCTGCTCAAAGAAGGTGAGTGGTTTATTTCTGTTTCTACCACAGACTGTAATAATTTAGGAAATCCATGGAAGTTTCTACAGAAACTAAGTAGCAAATATGTGCTACCATCTCTTTGTGACTCAAAAGTTCCTGTCTGGCCCTTATGCTGGTACAGGTTGGAACCACAGGAGAGGCCTGGATTAGGTTCTGGCCCAATCTAAAGGCAGGGCATGGTGGTGTACGCCTATAATTCAACAACTTGTGAGGCTGAAGCTGGAGGATCGTGACATAATATGACCTGTCCTTAAAACGCAATAAAAAAAATGTCACCCACCCACTCATCATTGGTTTTCAAATACCATTCAAACTGTTGTATCAACATCACCTTTGGCATTTTCAAAAAATAGATTAATGTGGCCTCTACCTTGTAAAATTCTGATTTAATGAATTGGGTAGGATCCTGAAATTCTACCCATTTTATAAAACAGGTAGAATGCTGGGTAAATGCCTGGGCTGGGCCTGTCCCACAACACAAAGGTTAAGCACATTGCATTAGGATCCAGATCCCATATGACTAGTGGTAGTTTGAGTCCTGACCCTGGCGACTTGAAAACTATGCTGGGGGGCCAGAAAATGTATAGCAATTACATTAGTGGACTTCCACATAATTGATGGCGTTTTTAGTCCTGGACCCAGTGGCTTGAAAACTATTCCAGGCACATGTTCATGCATGCCCAAGATCCTGGGAAGAGAATGGAGGAGAAGGGATTGCTGTGTGGCCATCCCCCCTGGAGGGTGATTTCTCCCTTTCCCTCTCACTGTCTTTCTTTCGGGTGAGCTCATGTGCCCTAAGGCAAAAACTTCTAAAAAAAAAATGCTGGGTGAATGTGTGTGTGTGTGTGTGTGTGTGTGTGTGTGTGCCCCCAATCCTAGCAGGATGGAGACGTGGAAGAAAAATGATGATGGTTTGACTATGCCTCATTGAAGTGTGCTCTCTCTTTCTCTCTATCTCTCATGAGTTCAAGTGTCCTCTGGGAATTTTTTAAAAAGTGCCCAGTCTTATTCAAGAACAAACATATATGGAAAGCATTGCTAATAGTTAAATACAAACATATATTAAAAGCATTGCTAATAGTAACAGTAATTAAAGATAGAACATCAAGTATAAGCATATCAAATATTTTAAGTGTTGGATTGGATTTCTAATAAAAGATATGGAATGTTTTGGGGAGGGCTTACAAAAATCAGAACTAAGATTTATCTCTCTTCGGTTGAAGTTGTCTAATGTCAAAGGTAAGACCTCTAGAAAACTCTGTGTCTTGTTTTACGATCACTGATTCTCTGATCACCTAGGGGAGAAATTCAGGAAGTTCAGCTCGTCATGATTCATGAAAGCAAATGAGTCTGTAAGTGAACAGGAAAATTTTCCCTCCAAGTAGCTCCTGAGCTGCTTGTAAAGAGAAAGTTCTGTCTCGCTTTTTGTCTCTCAACATAAAATTGGTGGCAAATTTATGTTTTTAAATTGTTTCTAATATACAATTAACTTAATAATGTAGTAAACTCTTTAAATTTGCATGCTTAAATGAAAATTGTCATTTTTGATCTAACTAAACATGATTACAATGGGAGAGATTTCAAGATAAGAATTTAATTACTAGACGAGATAGTTTTAAAAAGCAAGATTGTTTTATTACTACACTATCAAACTTCTGAGTCTGACTTCTTTCAATTCTTCTTTACTGGAATGAAGACAAGAATTAGAGTCTGGGGCAGGGTTTTTTCCTACTCTGGGGCTTTCCAGCTGTGGAGAGAAAAAAAAAACCAGACATGGAGATAAAAACAACAAAATATGTATCTTTAAAAAAATACATGAGATGTTACATAAGGTGATTTTGTTTTTTCTTGAGAGAGATTTTTGCTAGAAGGTACATGTGCTCACTGGAGAGACCGGGAGAGACAGAGAGGCAGAGAGAAATCACCTTCAGGGGGGGATGGCCACACTGTAATCTCCATTCTTCTCTTGGGATCACACACAAACACACATACACACGTGAGCACACACGCCTGGAGTGAGTTTTAATCCACCAGGTCTGGGATTCAAACTGTGGTTGACTATATAGGAGTCCAAAGACAACCATTATGCCATCTGCTGCTCCCAGGTTTTTATTTTTTAATTTTATGTAACTAACATAAAAATAGCAAACCATAAACATTTTAAGCTGAGATACACAAAATAAATAAGACTTCTCTCCTTTTGGAGAAAAGCAGTATCCTAAGTTCCTTGATACGGTTTATGACTTTTGAACTCTGGGGACATTTTAAAGAGACCAAAAGCCTTGCTTCAGCTATGACTGGAAGTTTGCACTCCACCTTGAGCATGGGAAAAAGAAGTTGTGTTAATGATAAATAAATATTTCCCAGGGTGTTTAGTTGATCAATAATGGGGGTTCTAAGAGCCTATATATAGTTGCTCAATATTATACTTTGCGTTGCTGAAATGCATCAATATTTAAGTGTCAACACTAAAAGATGTTTGTTGTGAAGCAGTTATTGGTTGGCTGGATGCTTTAAAATCAGAAAAAGTGAAACATTCATCTTTGTAGCTCCAGCCATAGCACATCACCTGTTTGAATCAGTGAAAATGAATTGGATGTCCATACTTTGGATGTGCCCCACAATTCCTATGTTGGGACTTGGTGGTATTATACAAGTGTGAAGGGAAAACTGAATCCTTTCATGGTGCCCTAGGGTGAGGACTTTGGGTGTAATAGTCAGTAGGATGCGGTCCCTGTTATCAAATTCTAGGAAGTTTATAAGAGAGAAAGGGAGACCAGAACAGATAGAAACTTAGGAACAGCCACTCTGCTTGTGACCTTGTCCTCTGCCACGTTGTGATGGCTTGGACCTCCCACATGGCCAGAATTATGAGTCAATGAAACTGCACCTTTCTAAATCACCCATTCTTAGATATTTCTGTTAGCAATTTAATAGCAGACTAAGACACATAATAACTTTTTTAACCTATGTGGTTAAAACCATTGAAGTTTGGCCTTGGAAGAAATGACCAGTTTCTTCTTCTTCTTTTTTTTTTTTCTTTAGAGAGGATTTGCTACAGGGTGTGTGTGCTTGCCAGAAAGACAGAGACAGAGAGACAGAAAGTGAGAAATCAACTCCCCAGGGGGGATGGCCATGCCACCATCCCTTCTCCTCCGTTCTCCTCTCGGGATCTTGGGCACGCACGCACATGCGTCTGGCGTGAGTTTAAGCCACCAGGTCTGGGACTCGAACTGCCATCGACTACATGGGAGTCCAACGACATAGCCATTACGCTAACTGCTGGTCCTGAAATCACCAGTTTCTAAGGGAAAGATTTACAAAATCAACTTCTGCTGATCACAATATTACAAATCTAGATTTCTCATTTGGAATTTCAAATAGTAGGAGACTTTGGATTCCGTGATTATAAACTAAGCTAATTATTACAAGAAACCTTGGAAAAAGCAGTCCCACAGTGGCCCTGAGCTTTCTGATCTTGAACTTTTTCATTTCTTCTTTCACCATTTCTGTTCTATTTCACCCAGATGACTCTCTTTAATGTTGAAAATGAAAGTTTCCTTTCATTGGTATTCAAGCTAAATATTCTCATATAGCTCAAAACTTTATTATTTAAAGGGAACATGTAGCCAATACTAACAATGATCTTGTTCCACTGATATTTATCTACATATCCTCTTCTCTTGAGGAAATGCTTCCTGTCACTCATTTTCTCCATCACCTCAGACAAGTCTCCACTGATCTGATGGCAACAGCATCCTCATCTTACTGTGATATGATGTTCAGGAAAAAAAATCTAAACTATTTTGAAAAAAGAAGTTTCACAGTCACAAGCTATGACAAAGAAGACAATATATACTTACCCTAGGTACTTTTTTCATAAATTTCCTGACCTCGATTTGATTAAAGTCTCAACCTAAAGATGCCAACAATATAGATTTATTTAAAACAGAATTATTCATTTCACTAAATTTTGAATGAGAAAAACTTTAGGGTGGGGGCAAAACAGGTAGTAGAACGGAAGCAGAAGTTCAGGACTGAGCTGCTGTGCAGATCAGAGTATTTGAAAGTGAAGAGCTGAATTGACAAGAAGCAAAAAACCACAGAACAGATACTCTGTTATCTTGTAGTCTTTCTGTTCACTTTGTTTCACAAGCTTGTTCAGGCTCTTCCCACTGTCCTTTTCCACCTCTCTTTTCTTTTCTTTTTATTTATTTCACAGATGGCGCTGGGGTAGGCAACTGATCCAACACAGAAGAACTCAGAGGAGAAAGGAAAACGTGAGCAGTTGTTCTACCCCCGAAATGAAGAGTCAATGAAGACGTCGTCAGCCATGTGTGGAATTGGGACCTTGTTTTGGGTCCTTTTCCTAATGCCTTATCTGTGCGTCTGGAGTAGCCACGGTAAGACACCTAATTAGATCATGTCTGGTTTAATTCCTCAGGGGGTCTTGAGGCAATGTAGTTTCTTGGTGAACTTAGTAGATATGCTGTTTGTGACAAGAGGGTCATAGTAGATGAAACTAAGATTTGCTAACTGAAGACAGAATACAAGCCAAATTAGAACATGATATTCGCCTCTCTAAATAGTAGGCACTGCAATGGTAGCTGGGACAATTTTCTTAAAAACATGTGCCGGTAGGAAGAGAAAGGACTGAGCGATGTCACAAGTACACAGTCATCACTAGTACTAGCAAAAACACTCTGGCTGACATACTGATGGTAAATCAACAGCCTGATCATTCCAAATGGGGTCCAGTTGAGTGTTGCAGTGCTCGCTTGGGTAGGACAGGTGTTGGCTAACTGGGGTTAGACTTGTCTCTGTGCTAACTCTTGATGAACTTTATATTAAAATAAGGACTCTATACTTGCTTCAGTGGAGGGTGCACCTTGAGAATACTGAAGGAGAAAAACTGAGATACCAGAGCAGAGCATTCAGCCATTGCTTCTATTTTGTTGAAAGAGAAAGGGTCCTGCTTGGTTGTCCTTTGAATGCAGAAAATAGGCTTGGTTCTGTGCCTATGACTTTATCCCTGCAAAGACTTTATGCAAGCAAAATATAGGCTATTCCTTCTATATCGGGAGGTCACTCACTCACTCCCTTCCAGTGACACAGGGCACATTTATTATAAAGGGGGAAAGCCTACACATGGTTAGCAGAAGTTTCTGATTTTTACTTAGTTCTGGTTTCAAATATCCTGTCTTATCCCCCACAAGCCACATTTTATCAGTTTGTGTGCTGTGGTTTTCAAGTAGAAAAGCTAATCACTGACCACCTCTGGAATGTCAGCTTGAAGTCTAGAGCTGTGTGGTTTGGGATTTGTCACAGTGACAAATGAAAATCCTCCTCAGTCATTTCAGTGTTTTTGTGTTTCTAAATGTTTGCCATTAAGTGTACAGGGTGTATACAGGACTAAATTTTTCATCTTCTCTTAGGAGACTAAAGTCACATAGCTACAAGTAGAGTCAAAGATTAACACAAAATTCATCGCTATTTGAAGGACATATAAACTTCTCTATGTGAAAGGAAGGAAAAGTATTTCCATGCTATACTATATCGGGGGTGGGAGGGTGGGATATATCTTCCATAGCGCCTCCTCCACCCAGTGCTATACTTGGTGCTTACAGACATGGACTTAGGAGTCAGAGCTGGGTTCATTTACTGACTGCAAAATACTGTATAGTTGTGGGCAAGTTTGTTATCCTTGCTCATCTTTAGTTTCTTTGTGTGTAAAATAGAGATACCAATTGTACCTAAATTATGGGCTTATTGTGAAAAGTAGAACTGCAGAAATATGAATAAAGTGCATATCATAAAAACTCAGTGATATATAAAAGCATTTCACTCATGTTATTTTCACCAAGCAATCCCCACAAATTCAATTAAGCGAGAAGTATGTTTTATTTAAGTAGTTGTATTATTTAAAGAGGTTGAGTTTTGAAAGGTAAAGTTAATAAGTAAAATATATTGTGAATATATTTAGCTTAAAATATAGTGAGTCAAATTATTTGAAAAAGGAAATGGAAAGACTTGGAACAGTCTTATATAGCAGCTGCTATGTTGCATTGTCATAGATTATTGCATGATTGCATTCAATTAAGGGTACAGGTTGAGGTAAGCAACATTCGGTGAGATTTATTCTCCCAGACAAAGCAGAGGGCTCCATTCTGCAAGGCCACATTATTACCTTTATAGCTTGGGGATTTTCTGTGAATTCATTGATTACTGAATTCTTTGTACTAGCACATTTCCAAAGTGTTCAAAATCATTTAAAAATACTTTGTCTCCTACTTTGAAGTAATGTGAGACCTGTGTACTCCTCCCCATGATATGTAAGGCTGCACATATAACAGGATTGGAAAAAAATGTGATGTTCACTTTAAACTTACTGTTTAGAGCTCTTCTTAACAAAAATATGCTTGCTTGCTCTTGTTAAATTTGTGTTTCTCGCACAAATTTAAAGGAAACTTGGCTCCTGCTCCAGCATACGATTCTGCCCTGATGAGGGTCAATGTGTGCCCCATATGGGCTGATCATGCTGGCAAGAAATATACTTTGGCTGGAATGGCCTTTCTGTGTCGTCTGCCCCATAACTCCTGATGGTTCCAGCTCTGAAGCCCCGGGCCATTTGTTTAGTTGATGGTCCATGGAGGAATGCACCCCCAGGCAGACAGGAGCACTGCACTTAATGACTGGCTACTCCTGGGCACTGTGGCTGGTCCAGAATAAAAGCAGTAGGAACTCTTGGCCTGGTCACTGTGTTAGAAAAGAATCCTAACCCGATGCAGTAAAAGGAGAGCATCAGTGGTTTGGCCTCTCGCAGAACATGGTGGCTATTACCACATCTCCATTTGGATCTTGCCCGTGTCCTCTTTCTTTCCTGGTGGGATGATTCAGAGTGGTCTGTGGAGCTACTTCAAGATGTGTGCTCCGCCTCCTACACAGATTCTGTTGCTCTGTCACAAACTGGCCCTATCCTCGGGTCAGAGCAGACAGCTAGGGCAGATGGCTTTCTGCAGCTATCATTTCTTGAAGTTCAGGTTTTACAACACGATGTCTTTATTCGGCTCATTTTTATGGCTCTACCTACTTGTTTCTCTTGAAATATGCTCCATCTTCCACCAAATGTCTTGGCCAAAACATGGTGGCACATCTGCAGGAGGCTGGCACCTTCTGGGAGGTCTGGGTTTGCATCAAGGAGCAACTTGAGCAAGTCAGGGTGCAGCGGCATGTACCTATAATTCTACTAATTGGGAGACTGGGGCAGAGGACCTGGCAAGGGTGAGACCTGTCAAAAAAAGCAAAACTAAACAAACAAACAAAAAAACCTTTGTCCCCTCATCCTATGCATTCATGGGTATGATCTCTTTTTCTTAAAAAAAAAAAAAAAAAAGGAAAAAAAAGAAAAAAACGTGCTACAGATTAACTACGCAGATGGCTTTCTGCAGCTATCATTTCTTGAAGTTCAGGTTTTACAACACGATGTCTTTATTCGGCTCATTTTTATGGCTCTACCTACTTGTTTCTCTTGAAATATGCTCCATCTTCCACCAAATGTCTTGGCCAAAACATGGTGGCACATCTGCAGGAGGCTGGCACCTTCTGGGAGGTCTGGGTTTGCATCAAGGAGCAACTTGAGCAAGTCAGGGTGCAGCGGCATGTACCTATAATTCTACTAATTGGGAGACTGGGGCAGAGGACCTGGCAAGGGTGAGACCTGTCAAAAAAAGCAAAACTAAACAAACAAACAAAAAAACCTTTGTCCCCTCATCCTATGCATTCATGGGTATGATCCTTTGTTTTAAAAAAAAAAAAAAAAAAAGGAAGAAAAAGAAAAAAGCGTGCTACAGATTACATACATGTCTAAGAATATATTCTGCAGCTACAGAAATTTCTAGATTAGGGCCCCCCCAAAATTAAACGTTGAGCTGATTACAGGCTTGAATAGACTTCTCCAATACTGAGAAGTTCTTTAATTGTTGTTGCTTCCTTTGTCCCACTATCAAAATTTCCCCTATTGTAATGTTGAATTCAAAAGCTGTACATCTTCCCTCACTCAGATTTTCCTACTTATTTTCCATTACTTGTGAGTTTCATCTTTAGCGTTCAGAATTTTTGTATTTAGTGAACTAATTCTGAAAAGAAAGAAAATAACACTCAGGACAGATATATGCCTTCTACACTGTAAGTTCTGTGTAAGCTTAGCTAATATGTGTTCCCCTGCCCCCATTTAGTCCAGAATTTAATTAACTTAGCAGTTCTCTTGAAGTATTTTTGGGATATGATCTTTGGTTTGGGATTGACAAACATCTTCTATAAGTACTCTTCATATCATTATCTACTATCATCCACAGTCACCAAGAAATAATAACTTTGGAGAGTTCTGCAACTTGAATTACATTGTGTTAGTGAATTATATTGTTTGAAATTTGCTTATTTTTCCAATAATCTTTTATTTATTTAAATTAATTTTTTTGTTTTTATTGGAGAGATTTTTTTTGCTTTAGGGTGTGTGCACTTACCAGAAAGATAGAGACAGAGAAGCAGAAAGCGAGAAATCACCTCCCATGGGGGATGGCCACACCACAATCCCTTCTCCTTCATTCTCCTTTCAGGATCTTGGGCACGCACGCACACGTACCCGACGTGAGTTTAAGCCACTGGGTCTGGGACTTGAATTGCCGGTGACTGCATGGGAGCCCAGTGACATAGCTATTATGCCAACTGCTGGTCCTATATTTTTCCAATAATCTTGCTCTTCTTACCTAAAAGTGAGCTAAATATTAAGTTCCTTTCAGGTGTGCTGTCATGATCATGAATCCTGATTTATATCTTTATCTCTATGGAAGGAGTGACTTGTGTGCATTTATCTGTATGTTTGCATAAAGCAATGTTATTATTATTATTTTCTTTTTTGAGAAATTTTTGCTACAGGGCACATGCACTCTTTGGAGAGATAGAGAGAGGTGGTGAGACAGAAAGCAAGAAATCACCCCCCAGGGGGATAGCCACGCTATAATCCTTTCTCCTCCAGTCACCTCTTGGGATTTGGGGTACACATGCACACACGCTTGACATGAGTTTTAAGCCACCGGGTCCAGGATGCAAACTGAAGTCAACAACGTGTGAGTCCAGCAAAATAACCATTACACCATCTGCTGGTCCTAGGATGTTTATTTATTTATTTAGCCAGAGGGGGGGGATAGCCACGCTATAATCCTTTCTCCTCCAGTCACCTCTTGGGATTTGGGGTACACATGCACACACGCTTGACATGAGTTTTAAGCCACCGGGTCCAGGATGCAAACTGAAGTCAACAACGTGTGAGTCCAGCAAAATAACCATTACACCATCTGCTGGTCCTAGGATGTTTATTTATTTATTTAGCCAGAGGGTGTATGTG